AGATACAGATATTAATTTATATACCAAATTACGCATAATTTATCTGACAATAAGATCCTGAAGTCAGAACCAAGATAGAATTTGCGGTTTTGAAATAATCTAGCAAAAACCTGTCCATAGCTGTATGTTAATATATCTTTTCAGTTTTGACATTGACATTTAAACTATAGTTACTAACTACGTTAGTAAGTTAGTAACTTACTATATACCGATACNTAACTACGTTAGTAAGTTAGTAACTTACTATATACCGATACTACCCTGTTATATTATAGTACAAGTAGATCATATTGTTTTAAATTAAAATATTTTTATGACATGATAAGTTATCATTGATAACTGTGAAAAGTATGCAATACTTTGTCTTTCCATAGGTTGGGTTTACGCATGAAATATACTAATAAATTAATTTATAAGTCATACAGGTACAGGTACATGGATCACTTCAGCTTTCTACTGCACATATCATAGCAAATATGACCTTGGCAACTCCGTATGCACTATTGAATAATATCAAATTATTTTATTACACTGAGATAATATTTTCATAACAGATTTTGATAAATAAAAACCTTTGCAAGTTCATTTATTGTGTGTATATAAACACTGATTTGAACTAGTAAATGTCAAAAATACTTTAATAGTACTGTAAATCCTTTAATAGTAAATTACAATTGTAATTTAGTTAAATATTATTACTACTTGTCTACTTGTTTGAAATGTCTCTCACATTCAACTTCAGTGGTAAAGTAGTACTGATCACAGGCTCGAGTTCAGGTATCGGTGCCGCCACTGCCGTACAGTTCTCCAGAGCCGGTGCTAATGTTGTGGTCACCGGTAGACGAGCCGATAAAGTGTCAGAAGTGGCCAAAGAGTGTCTCAAAGTATCACCGAAACAGTCGAAAGCACTGGAAGTGGTGGCGGATGTGACTAAACCGGAAGACTTGCGACGACTTGTGGACACAACTGTCAAACACTTCGGGAAACTCGATGTTTTGGTCAATAACGCTGGCGCCGGTGTTTTCGCTAAAATTGAAGGAAAGGATTTTTACGATAAATTTCAAAAAGCAATGCAAATAAATCTCAATTCTGTGGTCTATTTAACGCATATATGTGTCGAGCATTTGGAGAAAACTAAGGGAAATATAGTCAACATCTCGAGTGTCGCCGGGAAGAGAGCTGTAAGTCTAGTGAAAAAAAGTTCAAAATTCAAAACAATTTCTAAAACAATGAATTCATTCACAGGTAACGGCTTTTAGTCCCTATTGTGTGGCAAAGTGTGCTCTGGATATGTTCACCAAATGTATGGCCGCGGAGTTGGGACCCAAACGTATCCGCGTTAATGTTATCAAGTAATTCATAATTAATATCTATAAAAACAACAACAAAATGAATGTCTCAAATAAAATATCAACCCCTCCTATTTGAATGAATAGCCCTGGTCCAATTAGCACTGAATTTGCGGCTGCAACAGGTATACCACAGCATATATTGGACAAACATAGACAGGATTTCGTAGCGAAAATGCCAATAAGCCGGGTCGGCGAGTCCGAGGAAGTGGGGGACGCCATACTATACCTGGCCAGTGACCATGCTGCTTTTGTCACCGGCACTAACCTCATTGTGGATGGAGGTGTTATAGCAGGTAATGTAAGCTAAAATGTTAAAGTTACCACAATAGTTTATAACAAACACCAATGTGTGATTTTAAGATTATTTTCAATATTATGAGTTACGAATTTGAAATAAAATTAGTTATTTTATTTATTATTTGTTTTTTTAAAATGAATATTATTTTGTAAACTATTTGCAATAATTACTTATAATTTTATATCATAAAGTAATAATGTTTTTATTGTATTGTTTAAATATTTCTATTTAATTGTATGCTAATAAATCAATTATAATTTTAAAATGTAATCCTTAACCTATTAATTACTATATACCGATACTACCCTGTTATATAATAGCATAAGTAGACCATATTGTTTTAAATTAAAATATTTTTATGTTAAACTATACTACTGTATTGTATCATAAATTATAAGAATTCAGGTATATTGTATATAAAATGTTAATCAGTTTATAAAAATATTTATTGTAGAATTGAGAACCTGTAAATATTAAGTCTTCTCATCATTGGTTACTAGTGAAGTACTAGTAACCACTCAGAGATGAGCAGCATTCACTCAAGTTGTTAAAAAATAGTTCATTACAAAATTAACAGGGAGGGATGACGCATATAAAATTAATATTCATATTGCAGTGTGACAGGCTGGTGTGCCGGTGTGTAGGTATCGATATATCGAATTGGGATATTGAAAGGAAACGAATTTATTTTATGATATTCTGGTAGATCTCAATGAGCTGACTCTAACTATACCAGAAAAATAGTTCTATGACAAATGGTTTGACCGCAGTGACCACTTTTATTATTAAAT